CCGACGAGGATGGGGCAGGAGACGCCTCGCCGCGAACCGCTAGTGGGCGAGCGCCCCTCCCCTGGGGGCAAGAGGGGAGGAGAAAGCCCAAAGAAGGTTCGCGGCCAGAGCAGGGGGAGGTGCCGCTTCGAGCCTGAGAACAGCTCGGGTGCTGCCAAAGGTGCCCCTGGCCCAAGGTGCCCCCAGCCTTTCGCTCCGTCTTGGAGGCCATGAGGCCCCCTGGGCCTCGCGTGAGGGGTGCTCTGTAGGCCGTGGAGGCCTCCCTGGGAATCCTAGGGGCACCTTGGGCCAGGGGCACTTCTGGCAACACCCGAACAGCGCCCCCCGCGGGGGAGGGGCGACCTGTCGGACCGTCGGGCATGGGCAGTGGCCTGGAGGCTTGCAAGAGGTCCTGCCGTGCGCTCGTACGCGACGTGCCCCGATGCCTGTTCCCTGGGCCTTGGCTCCCAGAGCCGCGCTCGGGCTCTGCCTTCAGCTCAGAAGGTGCTGGTTCGTGGCTGCTTGGCTGCAAACTTTACATCAAAAATTGAAGATCATGGGGAAGCCAAGAAGGTACCGATACCGCTACTCCCCAGACCTCCCCCGGGGTGCGTTCTGATCGGGATTTCGGGGCGAATCCAGCGGTGGCGACGAGGGTCTCCCAGGAGGCCCAAAAATTACCCCAGTGCGACCCTACCTAGAAGTTGGAGCCCCTAGGAAAGCAGCATTAGTTGCTATGCTATGCTATGCTATGCCATGCCATGCTATGCTGCGCTGTGCTATGCTATGCTATGATATGCTATGCTGTGTTGCGCTATGCTATGCTATGCTATGATATGCTATGCTATGCTATGCTATGCTATGTTATGATATGTCATACTGCGCTGTGGTATGCTAAGGTATGCGGTGTTATGGTGTGTTATGATAAGCTGCGTTGTGCTATGATATGTTATGGTATGAAATGCTATGAAATGAAATGCAATGCTATGATATGCTATGCTATGCTGCGCTATGCTATGCTATGCTATGCTATGGTTGGCTATGTTATGCTATGCTATGCTATGCTATACTATGCTGCGCTATACGATGCTATGCTGGGCTATGCTATGATATGCTATGCTGCGCTATGCTATGCTACGCTATGCTATACTATGCTGTGCTCTGCTATGCTAAAGCACAGCGAAGCTAAGATGAAGGTAAGCTAAGCTAAGATAAACCTGAGCTAAGATGAAGCTAAGCTAAGCTAAGATGCAATAAGCTAAGCTAAGATGAGATAAGCAACGCTAAGCTAAGGGGACGTAACTGGGGGAACCGCGGGGCGGATACTGGGGGAACCGCCCGGGGCGCTTTCCACTGCCCGGCCCTTTAAGCCCAGAGAGTCAGAACCCTTCTGGGCAGAGCCTAGGTAGGGAATTACCCCAGTGCGACCCTGCCTAGAAGTTGGAGCCCCTGGGAAAGCAGCATTAGTTGCTATGCTATGCTGTGCTGTGCTATGCCATGATATGCTGCGCTATGCTATGCTATGCTATGCTATGCTAAGCTGCGCTATGCTATGCTATGCTATGCTGTGTTATGCTAAGCTATGCTATGTCATGCTGCGCTGTGCAATGCTAAGCTATGCTATGCTATGCTATGCTAAGCTGCGCTATGCTATGCTATGCTATGGTATGATATGCTATGCTATGTTATGCTGCGCTATGCTATGCTATGCTATGCTGGGCTATGCTATGATATGCTATGCTGCGCTATGCTATGCTACGCTATGCTATGCTATGCTGTGGTCTGCTATGATAAAGCTCAGCGAAGCTAAGATGAAGGTAAGCTAAGCTAAGATAAACCTGAGCTAAGATGAAGCTAAGCTAAGCTAAGATGCAATAAGCTAAGCTAAGATGAGATAAGCAACGCTAAGCTAAGGGGACGTAACTGGGGGAACCGCGGGGCGGATACTGGGGGCACCGCCCGGGGCGCTTTCCACTGCCCGGCCCCCATAAGCCCAGAGAGTAAGAACCCTTCTAGGCAGAGCCTAGGTAGGGAATGAAGGGGTCCTAGGACACACAAATAAATACACACAAATAAACATATTCCCCATATTTTCATATGTTTTCTGGGTTTCTGTCTTCCCCCCCACTTACCATATTTTCCCATATTCTACGGAATCGAAGATTAATTGCGTCTGTGTGCTTCTTTTCCTCCTGAAAAAAAGGGGAAAACGAGGGAAGGATAGAGGTATGGGTACTTCTTCCTCCTCTGAGGTCAGGTCCCCCTCGCTTCAGTCTCGGCCCTGCGGAGCCAGAAGGCTGAGGGTCAGCAACGGATGCCAAAAACCACAGGCGTGGTCCTTTTTGAAGGGGAACTGGGACACACAAATGAATACACACAAATAAAAGGATTCACCATATTTTCCCGTATTTTCTAGGTTTTTGTCTTCCCCCCCCCACACTTCCATATTTTCCTATATTTTCCTGGGACTCGACGATGAATTGTGTCTGTGTGTTTCTTTCCTCCTGACGTTTGTCGTTCC